GCGCGTCTTGGCGGTCTGCGGGGGGGGGGCGCAGCTAGTTCGGGGTTCCCTCACCCCGTTCGTAAATAGGGATCCGACGTAAGTCAGATCCACGTAACCCAGGGACTGCCTGTATGAGAGGTTCAAAAACAATAAGGGAGAGACTCATATCTCAGAATAATTGCTTCAGCCTGGCAAACAATAGCCTTTGAATTTTCTTTAAAGAAACACAGGGTATACCAAGTACATGCTGATTTTTTTTTTCTTGAAATTTAAATGACATCTGTGTTGGCTGCCTTATTTGGCATCCATGAAAACTTTGAGTTTAAGGTGCTTCAGCTCCCCGCTCTAACGCAATGCCCCTCCTTTCCCCCAGAGCCAGGCACTCCCAGCCCCTTGCTCTAACCCAATTCCCCTCTCCACCCCTCCCGTCCCCCAGAGCCAGGACCCCCAGCTCTAACCTTATGCCTGGGTCTCACCAGAGCCGCCACCGCCATGAGCTTCTCCCTCCAGGCGCTGGGCGCATGTGCAGAGTGGCCGGCCATGAGCAGTCCGAGTGCGCGGATCAGAACAAGCAAGAGACACATTTCTTTGAGCAAAGAGCTGCAGGTTGGCCACCCCGTCCTAAAGGAAAGGAAAGAGCTTATATAAGGAGGGGGATGGGCTGACATCAGTGATTCAGAGGACAACAAATGAGGTTGGAACCAATATTGGTAAGACACAGTGATCATGTCAGCATAATATATAAAGTCAGTGGTTGCTTTAAAAGTTTGTGGGGGGCGGGAGAAGGTTGTTTGGTGGAACTGACAATATTTTATTTTTAAATTCATAGGGATTGACGAACCATTACATATCAAGAGAAGGAAAGTAATAAAACCAGGCTTCATACATAGCCCATGGAAAAGTGCTTATATCAGACAGCACAGAATTGATACTAACTGGCGGAGAGGAGAACTTAAATCTCCTAAGGTAACCATTTCTGAACCATGAACATGTCAAGAATTAAGTAGGATCCATCAACTAACTGCTAATTTTCTTTTCAGCAAACCAAATAATTTCTGACTCTTAAAAATTGTTATAGTAATTTGAAAAAGGGATGTTAAAACCCCCTTTTGCCAATGTCTTTCTAAACGTAAATAATTAAATCACAGAAAATCATGTATATGATTCCCTGGCTGGACTGCCTGCCACTCCTCTGCAGCTGGGGGTTCGCCGGCTCAGGCCAGGACTCCCCAGATGCCTGACCCAGGCGACACACTAGGTTTCCCTGGCGGGGGCAGGAGTTCCCTGGTCAGTTCCTGATCCCGTTGATGCTGGGGGTTCTCCAACCAGGGCTTGGACCAGGGAGGTCCCACCTGTACTATAATATTGATAAAAATGTTCATTTCAGCCTGATAAAAATAGCAGATTATGCCCACGTTTTAATGATATCGATACTAGAGTTCAGTCTCATAATGTGCTTTATATATGCAGTAATATTATCAAGCCTGATTGTGTCTCTGGATGCCCTTGATACATAAAAACAGAGATTTACACCATTCATTTTAGAGAAATCCTGTAATTTTCTCAATTTTTGTACAGTAATCCAGAAAGCTAAACAATACAGGAGTAAAAATCTGAGGAAATCTGCCATTTGAGTATCTGACTGCAGCTTTCAACTGGCCAATAGCTCTGCATCTTTTGTCATGTCATGCTATACTGGAATTATTAAAATGGTAGCTCCAGACATTGCCCAGCTTCTTCTATTTGTATAAATAGACATTTTGAAACGTGTTCAAGTATTTTTAAATGGGAAATTTCTTGTTTAATTTGCATGTTCTGATATAATTGATTTTTACTGTAGTAAAAAAAGTCTTGTTGCAATTTTACATAATCAAACATGGAAAATGCCATTTTGAAAAATAACATTCCAATCCACAAACATATCCACATACATATTTTCTTCTTGTTAAGTCAAACTAACTTTTGCTGCTTCTTAACTGAGAAAGCTTTCTATAGTTCTCATCTACTGGATACCAGCCAAAAAGAGGAGAAGTTGAGTAGCTCAGAAGATCAGTGAACATTAAGACTTGTTTCTGAAAATAATTTGCACATAAGAGAAGCAAATTTCTGTTCATAGGAAAATATTTCCATTAAATTAGTCTTATGCTTTTAAAGATAATTTTAATGTTTTTAAAATTAGGTTTTAGACTATATTAGTCTATTCAATGTAGTTTTAGCAATGATCTCTTTCCAATTATTTAAGAAAGGTAAAAATAACGTTAATATACCTGGTCAGCTATGCAGTATTATACCACAGATTCAATTTTATATCAAGGAAAGGTCTTTCTGACTCTAGCTAGTGATAAAATAAGTCTGAAATATAAAGACTCATTACAATAATTTTTTAAATCTAGTTAAAGTAATGTTGATTCTGATTCTCTTTTTTCTACTTATCTTCTAATCTTTTGGTTCACATTACAACACGTTCTCTATTGTCAGGTGCTCAAAGGTCATGATGATCATGTGATCACATGTCTACAATTCTGTGGTAACCGAATAGTCAGTGGTTCTGATGACAACACATTAAAAGTTTGGTCAGCAGTTACAGGCAAGGTAAGTTAGCACTTGATAAGATCCAGTGAAATGGACCATTGGTCAAGTAGTAGCAAGTTCAAAGTTGTGTTAGTAATTTATTCTGGTCCCCAAAATATCTTATGTCTTTGTCTTTTTTGCTGTGTGGTGCAAGATACAGAATACCGTATTAGAAAATATTTGGGCAATCTTTCACTACACAGAAATATATCTACTTTATGAAAGTCAACTTGATGTGAAATTATAATGCTGTTGATGTTACCATTGGCATTTATCCTTGTTCTCTTGGCAGCTGCTCTATTCATATGGAGTCATTTTTGACATTGATTACAGAGAATTTAGACACATACTATTTTATCTTCCCTATAGGTTAATTCATCCTGACTTCATCCACATGGATCTTGTTTCTGGCTAATGCTTGTGGCTTCCATGTTTATTTATATGGTTTTAAATTTTTCAGATGTTTCATTTTATTGGCTATATATAGCCTTAGAATAGTGTATTTCTCCTTATTCTGGCAATAAGAATATCTTCTAATTTCAACAGCCCAGATGTTGATAAGTTAAAGAGATAAATGATATCCACATTGTAATATTAGTCTTGGATGAATGTAAGGGTTTTGCTTTGTCTTTGAATGCCTTGACTAGATTGTAACTGCTACCTTGGAGAAGAATAAAATAGTATGTGGCATGCAGCCCCACCCAGTTTGGCTGGCTTCCCCTTCACTAAGCCTAATTCGTAAAAGGAAGGCACGGTACAACTTTAACATTCTTTCATGAAAAGGAACAAGATGAAGTCATTTTTTAACAACATTTGTTTTATGTATTCTTCTCCCTCAGAAATATAATGTGCCACTGACTATATGAAATTCAACATGACAGGATGACTCGCCAACAGTTTTAAATTCTCAGTAACTTATCTAATACTTAAAACATCTTGATATGAGGGATTTTTATGCCAGACCTTAACAAATATTCAGAAAGTGTTGCATCCAACATGGAGAAATATTTGACCTCATCTCGACTGAAAAAAGAGAAACTGATCACAGAATTAAAACATTTACTTGACTTGATTGTATTCATGTAAAAAAACATAATAAAGTCCAGACCAATGTAATGTGATATAATATAATATAATCTTCCTAGTTTTAAAAGCCAAGTTCACAAAGCTGAAACATCTGGGAAAGAATTTGAAAAGAAAAATTTGAATAATTAGGAACTGTTTGAGAAAATTTTGCTTGGTGTTCGAAAAGCCACAATAAAGGAAGTAACACATTTAAAAACAAACATAAGCATGGAAATGAAAGAAATTACAGGTTGAACCTCTCTAGTGTGACACCCTCGGGACCTGGCCAATGCCAAGCCAGAAAATCTGCCGAACCACAGGAGGTCAAAATTGTCTAGCAGCATTACCAACGTTTCCACTGCTTATTGGGCTCATAGAAGACATTTAGGGGTAAATTAGAGCTATATAATAGCACAGGACACTGAGGGTCAGGATTGGTGGCTTTAAGCAAACTTCATGTGACTGCAAGCAACTTGGCCACACCCACAATAAGTGGACATCCAGCTAACTAAAATCATGCTGGACCATGGATGCCACCAGACCAGAGAGTGCTGGACTGGAAAGGTTCAACGTGTGTGTGCATGCGTGCGCGCAAACCAATGGAAAAAGAGAAGCTTATATCAATTGAAGCTAGTAATTGTTTAAAAAAAAAAAAAAGAAGGAAGGAAGTAGGACATGAGAAATCTGTGGCAAGCAGTGTTAAGGACAATAATGAGCTGGTTAAGTACATTAGGAAGCTAAGTAATCCTACCAATTATATTAGTCCATTATTAGATGGAAGTGCTGTAAGAGTCAATAATACTGGAAAGCCTAAATGTTCAATAAATATCTGTACTATATTTTGGGGGAAAGAGATGATGCTATTGTTAAATATGATGATGCCGAAATACTTTTCCATTGCAGCAATTACTCAGGGGGATATTACAAAGTATGTAATGAATTAAGACTTTTTTTTAATCATCAGGTCCAGAAACTTGTATCCAAGAGTTTTAAAAGATGTGATTGAGGGGCTATAAAAGCTAATGTTGTGCCAGTATTTAAAAAACTATCCCTGCCCTATTAAGGGTAATTAGCCAATAACAAATACTTATGTGCATTCTCCATCATTGGAAAGTTTTGTATCGATATTGGGTGTTTTTTGAAAAAAAGAGATGCTCTAAGTTCAAACAAATTAATTCAGAGAAATCCTGTGGCCTGTGTTATATAATGTGTGTGTGTGTGTGTGTGTGTGTGTGTGTGTGTGTGTGTGTACACACACACACACACACACACACCTAAAGGTCAGATTACATGATCAGAATGGTCTGGTCTGGCCTCAGTCTATTAACTGATTAAATTTCTTTCACCTTCCAATATACTAACTATACAAAATATTTTTCAGTGTTTAAGAACACTAGTTGGACACACAGGTGGAGTCTGGTCATCACAAATGAGGGACAATATCATTATTAGTGGATCTACTGACCGTACACTTAAAGTATGGAATGCAGAGACTGGAGAATGTATTCATACATTATATGGACACACATCTACTGTGCGTTGTATGCATCTCCATGAAAAAAGGTAAATGTTTACTAAAAATTAGGCATCTTTTTTACTTCTTGTTTTGTGGTCTTTTTAAAGGAAATGTACATATTATTTCATTAAGTAGTCCTGAAACAGTAACGGTGCAATATAAATGTTATAATATTCAGTAAAACTACTAAAAATTAAATTATATACACCACATGAAGAGAAAAGAGCAGCCTACTTCAAGAAGACGTGAAAGAATTGTACAATAAGACACAAAGCTCTCCATATACAACCAAATAATTCCCTATAACTTTCTTTCAATGTTGTTTCAGTTATTGATGCATTGTGCTATGCCATGCTATGAATGATCCTTGTTTTTAACTTATGTCAATTTGTTGCAAACCGCTACCTGTTTAAAAGATTATCTTTTTAAAAATGTCTTTGGATTGAAATACATTTTATTTACATTTCTTTTGCACTGCCATTTCAACAATAATATCATTCAAGAGACTTTGAGATGTTGTGATTTTTTGTTTAAAGGTTTGCATTGATATGTAGTTGTGTCTTAAAATGTTGTCTTGGTTATTCATCCATTTTTTTCTGCCCAGATAATCAGTGGAATTACTATATTCTTCATCACTATTCATTGTACCAGTATCAGTACTTTCAATATATTTTAAACTAATATTTACTGTAAATGTTGCATAATGAAGAACTTTCAAAGAGGGTTTTTTAAAAAATAATTACTAGGTGGGTTTAGTGCTCATTAAAGCAAGACCATATTACTGGCTTGATCCAACTGTAAGCAAAAGCAGATGGTATGTAGTCTATCACCTAGAGCTCTCCCAATCCATCTCAGTCTTGACTTACCGTATCTTATTATTCAAACCTGTGTCTTTCCTCTTGAATACTGACTGCCAATCACACCAGATAGTTTGGTGCTATGAACATGCTTTAACTTTCAACCTGAATAAAATCTGAAGCCAACTCTTCAGAGGCAGGCAGACTAGTCCTCATACCATCTAGCCTTCCAGAGAAATAAATTCAGATTAACTGCTTTATGCACAAAAGGTTGGTATCAGGCTTTCTGCTTTAGCTCACGTGATACAAACATGGATGTTGATATGCTTAAGTGTCATTTTTATTTGTGTTTCTCCAGAGTTGTCAGTGGGTCTCGAGATGCCACGCTGAGAGTTTGGGACATAGAGACAGGCCAATGTTTACATGTTCTGATGGGACATGTAGCTGCAGTCCGGTGTGTTCAGTATGATGGGAGGAGAGTTGTTAGTGGAGCATATGATTTTATGGTCAAAGTGTGGGATCCAGAAACCGAAACTTGTCTACACACACTGCAAGGTCATACTAATAGAGTCTATTCACTACAGGTAAGCAATTTGTATCCAGTGCTTTTAGATTAGACCACTTTATGGTTAAACTACTAAAATTGTGGCTATTTGCTTACTACAGATGCAGTCCTAGAAAATACATAGAGATTCAGGTTACCCTCTTTCAACGTCCCTTCTCCTGCTACTCTTGCCATTAATTTAGAATGGGAGACAAAATCATGGTTTAGGTCTCGTGAGAGCTGCCACAGTTCAAATTAATAAGATTTTATTTTTAAAAAATCATTGGTTTTTATTGTAAATTACTGCAAGGAATTTTTTTCGTTTGCTATGAATATTCTTATTTTCAGTGTCTCTGTTTTTCATAGCTCTTCAATTGCTGATCATGCTCAATTAACCAAAAGTAATGTTCCTTTTAAAATCTAAAAGTTCATGTATTATATTCTAGAATTTAAGTGTCAGAGAAGGATCTTAATGCTAAGGTATATGGGGAAGTGCTAGACTGGTTTAATGTGTACTGCAATAGCTAAAACATTCATGTGCTTTTTCATGTGGAACTTTTACAGCCATGAGAAAATGACTTCCTCCCCAAAAACCTATAGTGTTGATCTTTAAAATTAAACCAGGAGAGAGAGCTACAAAAGACAAGTAACTTTTGGCAGCTTTGTATGATTGAATTTTCCTTATTCTGATGTTTGTAAGATTTTGTCTGTCCTCCAGAAAATGCATTGATTGAAGCACAAGGACTTAGTTTGCATGTTGTCCCTTTCAGTATGTAGTTGTTGCTAAGCAGGAATCCAACACTTGTTATAAAAAGGAAAACAGTGATTTATATGTATGTATGTGTTTAATCACTTCACCTAGTTACAAAGTTGTGAACTACCAATAGGACTGGACCTAAGATTTTAATGGCTGTTAGTGAAGAGCTCTGATCAAGCTCCCTGCCTTCCTATGTTAGAGACCAGGTCTACATATGGATGGTTTTGTGTCATAGCTGTACCAGCCCAGTAAAGTATACCACCAAAGCATTCCTAGTGTGGACACTTTCTTTGGCATACTTATTCTATCCACATAACCTCACCCCCATTCCAACAGAAATGTAGTTTTACTGTAATAAGAGTCTGTACAAAGGGCTTTTACCAGCACAACTATATTTGCTATAAATCACACCCCATACCACATAGTAATGCAGCAAAAGTTTGTAGTTGGAGACCTGTTGTGGATCTTCCTTTTTACCTACCCTGAACCTTGCTGTTTCTCTGCAAAACTGAAACACAACTAAGTCTGAGAAGGCATTTAAGGATTCATTTTATGCTAGAGCTTGCTGGCACTACAATCATACAATATAGCAGATGGAGAACTTGGAATGGCACTTTGGCTGGTGAATGGGGGGTTGTTATGGAGTCTAATGCTCTATAAAGACCCAAAGCTAACAATGATCAAACTTTAAAAAAAATTAAATATAATTTAAAAAAAAGAAATTGCATCCTACACATCTGCTAGCCTGGGTTGTGGCAAAGGAAGTATGGCTCATAAATTGAGAGGCAAGAGGATTTCATAACTCACTTTTAGCATAGATTCTGTTTATTAGAAAACAACTGTTTCTTAACATGGAGCCAGAAAGACACTGTGACTCTAAAGAGGTTCGAATGTTCAGCTGTAATGTGGAGACCCCAGTTTAAGTCCCTATTCCCAATGACTATTTGTACAAAGTATAACTGTTTGAGAGCTTAGGTACAAACTCTAGGGGAGAGTTCATGGTTGTGAATCAAACAATGATGAATGTCTCATTAGTAGTCATATAAGTCCCTTTGAAAGACAGCGCTTAACCTGCACCCCTCTCAGCTTGCTAACTTTTTCTGTGCATAGTATTAGGAGCTTGGGTACCTATGTTACAGTGGTAGATTTCATGAGGCATCAGAGAATATATTATAATTAGACTTGCAATGCTGAGCCTATGTGAACCTAGCCCATAGATCAGTGGTCTCAAACTCACAACACCCAGGCCAGTCCCGGACAGAGAGATTGTGCAATCTGCCCTGGAACTTCTGGCAGGTTGTGGGAGGGAGAGTCTGTCTGTTACTGGCCCCCAGGCTCTGCCCCTTCCCGCCATTGCCCCACCTTCTGCCCCAGGGCATCCTATCACTCAGCCATGCAGTTTTGGGATCATTGAGGGTAGGAGGCTGGTGCTGTGTGGCAGCATTGTTTGCGCCCTCCCCACGGAGCCACTGAGAATGCGAGGGAGCATGAGCTGCTTCCCTGTGGTGCCTGGTGCCATGAGGGGAAGGGGCAGGAGCTGGTAACAGATAGCCCCATCCCATCACCTGGGCCTGCTGGGAGTCCCAGGCTGGATTGCATAATCACTCCGGCTGGGACTGGACCATGGGCCATGAGTTTGAGACCCCTGCTATATATGATAGTAGACTGGACTTCCTGCTAGAATGCACACACAAAATCCTAGTCCTTGTGGAAAAAGTGGTCAGGACTATTAACTTTTAGCACATTAAAATAGTGATGTGTTTAAAAATCTTTCAAAGGGTTTACATTCATATTCTTTTGAAATTGATGATTCAAGTTCAGTGTACTACCTGATCGCCTCTTGGCTTTGGCAAAGCGCTTGTTTTCACTTTTTGTTGTGAGACTAGATTGAGATAAATGTTACATAGAGTGAAGCTGTTGCTCTGATCAAATAAAATATTCCATACGGTTTTTAGATGATTAGGTTGACACTTAAGGCAGAAGATTCTTTAAAACTCTTTGCTGTTGGCTTGATATCAAAAAGTCCTCAAATATGTTCTGTTCTGTTTGAGTGAATTTTTAGTAATGCATAGCACTATTCAAAGAGAGGGACAAGGTAAAGTGTCTATCAATACGTATTTTTCTTTTTAATCAAGATTAAGGTCTGTAGGTGTTGAACTGCAGAAATCAATAAGTCTTGTCCCCGTTATGAAATTGTAATGATTAACCATGAGCACATGTTGCTATGCTAAACATAAGTGTGGCCACTGAGTTCTAAGTTATATTTAACATTGTTAGTTAACATAATGTAATTTCCTAGCTTAGGGAATAGTGAAAGGTCTTATTTTGTGAAACTATGAATTAAATGCATGTAGCACACTTAATGTTTTTTCACAGTATGAATGCTAAGAGCTTAATACAATGGCATGTGTTTATTGTAGTTTGATGGCATCCATGTAGTGAGTGGATCTCTTGACACTTCAATCCGAGTTTGGGATGTGGAGACAGGAAACTGCATTCACACATTAACAGGCCATCAGTCATTAACAAGTGGAATGGAGCTCAAGGACAATATTCTTGTGTCTGGGAATGCAGATTCAACAGTCAAAATCTGGGATATCAAAACAGGACAATGTTTACAGACATTGCAAGGTGAGCTTACACTATCCAAATATAAGCACAGTCCTTCAAAATACTAAGAGGGCTGGTGCAAGATAGTGATTCAGTCCTAAATTTAATAATTCAGTGCTGTGTGCTACTGAAATAGTTAATGTAAAAGTACTTGTTATATCTGTTAAATCTGAGCATTTCTACTTCCCATATATTGCTAAAGGACAAATTAGCCCAGGGGAGAATGTTTCAATTTTATGTCAAGTCAAGCTGTGTTTAAATGTGCGGTCTTACTCAATGCACCAATCTGGAAAAGGGAAGAAATAACCTATATTCAAGGAAAACAACTGCAGATCATTTACTGCTCAAACATTGGTCATGGCATCTGTATTATCTTCTGTGTTTGGTGAAACTGTCTGTGAATTAAATCTTTTGTTTTTCTAATTTAATCTAAAATCATTTGCCTATTATGGAAAGACTGCTGTCTGATAGACTAATAAACCCAAAAAATATGTAGGAAACAGCATCTCAGAACAGCCAGTTAACTTAGTTATTTAGGTCACTCGGACATTTCAAAGCCTCCAGACTAATTGGGTTGGGAAGGCAGTGAACACTGTCTGTAACAATAAATCAAGAAAAATGAATGGAAAACATTTCCTGTATTTAAAAACAGGAGTGGGGGAGAAATTTGAGTTTTCATTATGACTGTTGCTGTGCTCACACACACACATTCACTTATTTGCCTAAGCAAGTCTTTTGTAATATCTTTTCCTGCCTTTTGCCTGCTAGCTGTGGTTCTGGGAGAAAATCCATTTCACAAAAAAGGATCCTCCACTGCTTAATCATACTTAATTATTGTACAAAACAAGCATTGAACTTTTAAAGGACAATTACTATAGGATGGCTTAAGGGAAAAAGGCATATAATAGAGTTTTGTTATTTGAGTTAATATTTAACAATGACTTCAACTGGAATTTTCTTGTTGGTGAGAGTTCTGTAACATTACATCAGAACGGATTTTAATTAGACTAACATTTTGGCAACAGCATCATTTCTTGCCATCAAGGTTTAGCAATTATTTAGGAATAAGCCCACCCTTTCTTCCCAAAGGGCCTGGGAGTGCCTTCTACTAGGTAAGTTCATTTTGATGAATCTCAGATGAGACTACACACACACACTTTTTTTTTTTTTTTTTTAAACAACAACTAGGGATGTAAAAGGGTAACTATTGGAGGCTGGAGCAGCCTCCTGCCTGCCCCGGGCAGTGTGCTGGCAACAGATGGGATAATCTCATCTGGAGCAGCCTTTGTCCTCAGCAAGCCAGGGCACTCCGCAGGCAGGGACTGCTCCAGCTGGGTTGGAACGGCCCCTGCCCAGATTCCACTTAGTCCCTAACATTTAACTGGTTAACTTTTATTACATTCCTAGTAATAAAAGACATCTTGGAGGACAGGGAGATTTTTCAATGCCTGCGATAATCCTTTGAAAACACAGAATAGGGTTCCTGTGTATGTTAAATATTTGGTTTAGTTGCATATGAATGTATCTAAATACGGTAACCCCTCATACTGATTTTTAACCACAAGCAAAATTCTTTTGGTTTTATTGTTTTAGGTCCCAACAAGCATCAGAGTGCTGTGACCTGTTTACAGTTCAACAAGAACTTTGTAATTACCAGCTCAGATGATGGAACAGTAAAACTTTGGGACTTGAAAACGGGTGAATTTATCCGAAATCTAGTCACATTGGAGAGTGGGGGAAGTGGAGGTGTCGTGTGGCGGATCAGAGCCTCCAACACAAAGCTAGTATGTGCAGTGGGAAGCCGAAATGGGACTGAGGAAACAAAGCTGCTGGTGTTGGACTTTGACGTGGATATGAAGTGAAGGACAGAAAGATGAATTTGTCCAAATGCGTAGACGATGTTTCCCCTCCCTCCCCCACAAAAAGAAGAAAAAAAATCCCCTGCCCTTGGTGGTGCAGGATGTTGGCTTGGGGCAACAGATCCTAAAGACCTACAGACGATGAAGAAGGAGACTGTGAGATGACAAACTGTAACTGACAAGAGAGGCATTTGCTGTCTCATCACATAAAAAGCTTCACTTTTGACTGGGGCGGCTTTGCAAATATAAGACTTTCTAAATCAAACCAGGTGCAATTATTTCTTTATTTTCCTCTAAGTGCTCATTGAGCAGAATGGAGGTTAAAAAGTTGTTACAGTTCTTGCTAACCTGTTGTTTTATAACAAGAGATCTAGAAAGTGCTGCATAACATCCATTACTGGATGACTTTTAAAGTTGCAAGCTTCTGCAGCAACAACAAAGTCAAATCCTGGTGTGGAAAAGCTACATTCTTACTGTGAATTGTTTTTGTACAGTTTTATCGGGTTTTTTTTTTGTTTTTTGCCAGCCATTGCCAATGTCAATCACAGTATTAGCCTCTGTTACTCTATTCACTGTTGCTTCCATCTACACTCTTCAATGCATATTGTTGCTCTGAGATGGCAAGTTGTCCTGGGTTCTGAGAGTCCTTGAATGGATTTAACTCATAATGCTGGTGCTAGAAGTAGGTCTTCAAGTATGGGATTGTTGTCCCACCCCTGTACTGTATTCCCAGTGGCCAAACTTATTTATATGCTGCTAAATGAAAGAAAGTAAAGCAAATTATTTCTTGTTTTTTAATTTTTTTTCTGCTGTGACGTTTTAGTCCCAGACTGAATTCCAAATTTGCTCTAGTTTGGTTACAGAAAAAGACTTTTTGCCACTGAAACTTGAGCCAACTGTGCCTCTAAGAGGCTGAGAGTTAAAAAGTTTCAGACAATTAAGAGTGAAGTTTGCTTGCAAGTAAAGAATTGAGTGTGTGTGCAAAGCTTATTTTCTTTTTTCTGGGCAAAAATTAAAACACATTCCTTGGAACAAAGCTGTTGCAGCCTGTTCTGTGGGGAAACTTTTTTCTTTGTGAGGGCTGTGGTGAATGGAATGAACATGCATAATAAAACTGACAAAAATTTTAAAAATATAAATACAAATAAAGTTGCTGGTCAGTCTTAGTGTTTTACAGTATTGAGAAAACAACTGTTACAGTTACTGCTGCAAGAAACTGACAGAGCAAAAACTATTATGTTTTTGTAATAAAGATGTACATGCAAACTTAAAACAAAAAGAGAAAGTCAAATGGTTTGCCTCATTCTCCAGAAGCCACAACTCAAGCTGAACTGTGAAAGTGGTTTAACACTGTATCCTAGGCGATCTTGTTTTTTCCTCCCCCATTTTTTTTGTTTTGTTTTATTTATAGTCTGATTTCAAACAATCAGATTCCAGTTGGTTAATTTTAGTTATGTAACAACCTGACATGATGGAGGAAAATGACCTTTAAAGGGATTGTGTCTATGGTTTGATTCACTTAGAAATTTTATTTTCTTATAACTTAAGTGCAATAAAATGTGTTTTTCATGTTAGCATGTCTTTTTCTTCCAATGGTTTCCTACTATACTAATATGCAATACTGAAGCCAATATGTGGACAAAATCTTGACTTACTGTACATATGCCAAATAGTCTGAGAGGGGGCAAGTTTCTCAATTGACTGAAAAGACAGCAGTGAATCAAAACCAAAATGCTGTCAAAGACTTATGTAACCAAATTCTACAGAAAAACTTACTCTCCCCTCCCCCAAGAATGTGCAGGAACACACAGTCACCATGTGCATAAATCAGTGGTTTGAGTTTGTCATGGGGGCTTCTACAAACACAGGCATTAATCCAGAGGTATATTCTTAGTGATAGAAAGCTTAACATTTTTACACTGGTAGGAGTTATCAGTAAATCAAGAAGAAAGAAAATTACATGAGTAAGCTTTTTGTGGCTTTTACGTTTTTTTTTCTCCAAGCGTTTTCTTAATTGCATCTGAAATTGAAAAAGTCTAATCAGAATGAAATCTAATGTTTATTATTTGATTGAAATTCTGCAGAAGAGAATATACAGTATCAAATGAAAAGCAAGAAGCAGTAAAATCCACATCGGAATTTACAACTACACCAGGTCAGTAACATAAGTGAACTGTCCAAAGTAATATTCAAAAAGTCCTACCCAATCCAGTGTGTCCCAAGCAGTTCTATCAACTTGTTCAAAACAGAAAAGTCAACACAGATGAACTAATCAAAATATCAATTGCAGTGGAAACCTATCAAATGTTATATATTCTTCTAAAATCATGTGCATAAAACTAATACTGGGACTTTTCAGTTTAGAAAAGAGGAGACTAAGGGAGGATATGATAGAGATATATAAAAGCATGAGTGGTGCGGAGAGGGTGAACAAAGAAAAGTTATTTATTAGTTCCCATAATAGAAGAACTAGAGGACACCAAATGAAATTAATGGGTAGCAGATTTAAAACTAATAAAAGAAAGTTCTTCACATAGCGCATAGCCTGTGGAACTCCTTGCCAGAGGAGACTGTGAAGGCTAGGACTATAGCAGAGTTTAAAGAGAAGCTAAATAATTTCATGGAGGTTAGGTCCATAAAAGGCTATTAGCCAGGGGATAGAAATGGTGTCCCTGGCCTCTGTTTGTCACAGGCTGGAGATGGATGGCACGAGACAATGATCAAGTGATTTGTCTTCAGTCCACCCCCTCTAGGGCACCTGGTGCTGGCCATTGTCAGCAGACAGGCTACTAGGCTAGATGAATCTTTGGTCTGACCCAGTACGGCCATTCTTATGTTTTCTCATTCTAGCTTGTGAAATCAAAGGACTTCATATTTGACCTCACTGTGTGCGAGTATTTGGCTAAGCTACTAAAACTTAAAACTGGATACTAAATTCTAGCTTTTCAAAATTATCCAAATACTTTTGAGGCTCTAGCCTCTGTATACATGTAATTTATAAAACTGAGCACAAGTTCAACCTTTCCACTACATTTCTTCTACACTGATGCAATCATTGTAATAAATATTTTTTCTTGATCCTCATGGGGGTTTCCCCCCCTACAATGAAATACTTTGCTCCTAGACAAGCAAATAAAGGCTGTTATGGCTATGTGAGGTATTTATCCCTTTCACAACTGTTGTTCCTCTGCTCATACTGCACACCAGTCTATATTCTGTCAATAGTTTATATCCGAAATATTTAGTCAATGACATTTCTTAGATGCCTGCGAAGCTTCACCCTTATAGGCACCCTTCCTTTTTTCTCAGTTTACTGGTTTTAGGGATCATTTTTGACTGGTGGGGACAAGACACAAATGGTCTGTCCAATCAGAGACAAGAAAAATACCCACTGGCAATATTTACTCAAGGTCACTGTCAGTGTTCCCTCTAAGATTTGCCATCCATGAGTGCCCTGAGTTTTGTCTTATGCACCAATATTGAGGTCATGTGTGCAAGTTCAGCTGTGTGCCACCACTGCACCCACCAGTTAATAACAAATACATATAAAAAAATAGATCTTTCCCAGTCACAAAGAATAAAAAGAGCTGTTAAATCAGCACTTTCACCCACGCATCTTTATTATAATTAGGGATATTAAATTTTGATTAACTAACTAATCGAATAGTCAATAGGATTTCCTTTGACTATTTGATTAGCCAATAAGGACTAGTGCAGCGTTCTGCCTTTGAAATGCACAAGAGCACCAGTAGGGGCTCTTGTGTATTTCAAAGATTGAAACGCAGTGTGGAGCCAGGGGCCAGTGGGAAGTCACCTGCTGACCTCGGGCTCCATGCGGGCACTTCTGCTTTGAAATATAAAAGAGCCCCAGCAGGGATCCCCTTAGAACCCTTCTTCCCTCTCCCCTCCCCCCCCAGTCCCCGCTTGCTGCCTCCTTCTGATAGAGGCAGCAAGGGGGTCAGGGGAAGCGACTAGTGTGTCGACTAGCCGATAAGCTTTTGCTTATCGGATACTAGATTAGTCGCTTACATCCCTAATTATGATGGCTGACCCTAAGTGCCAATGTATTGTCTTTGTCCCGCAATCTGCTTATTAACCATCCCATAACTGTGTGTGGTGACAAATGACATAACACGAAAGGCCTTACAGTCCTTCTGAAGAAAGTGGGGGCTTCTTGGCAAATGAGCCTGTAAATAATGAACTGTGATGGTTGCAGCAGGAACAGGAACAATCCTATTTAGACTGTTTAACTATAAAAAACTGAGTTAAGATCAGATAGCTGAGAGACAGAAGGAAAACATGGAACTAAACATTGCTAAAATACAGAAGTTATCAAAGCCCAGGCCAAAAGATCTGAGCTGGAAAAAACAACCAACCTTGGTCAAAGCTAAAATATAAAAACGAATGGCAGCTGAACTGTAAGCACTTAAATGGGTCATTTGTTCATAACATGTAATTTATACACCTCCACTCCCAACGCTATTTGAAAGTCTAAAATCATTTTAAAAACAAAAATATTCAAAACTGCAGCTAGTAAAAGGCAAGCCAAAAGTTTAAAATATTTAGTGCCTCTAAAGCAAGGGTCCTCAAAGTTAAAAAAAAAATAAAAAAACTTTAAAAAATGATATATATAAAATCAGCTTTTTAAAAATTCCACTAAAAATCCATTCAAATATTTTATTCAAGGTTGCAAAACTGACAGCTACTCTTTATCTGGCAGTGAGCATCTACTGACAACCTTAACTTTAGAGGGGTAGCTAAGTTAGTCTGTAACAGGAAAAACTTGACTAGTCTAGTAGCATCTTAAAGACTAACAAAACCTGTAGATGGTATCATGAGCTTTTGTGGGCACAACCCACTTCTTCAGGTGACTGGAGTGTTAGAAGTCCAGATCCAAGAATAAATAGGGGAAGGGAGTAGGGGTAGCAGAAAGCCTCTAGCTTCCATCCCAGACATTTCTCAATCTGTTGTTTACAGCCAAGCCCTAAAATACAACCAGATTTTCTCTAATCTCACAGAGAGAAACACCTACAGGATCTATATAGAGCATTTTTAAAACTAAAATATCCACCCGGAGAAGTGAAAAAACACAGACAGAGCCAAAAGAGTACTCAGACACGAACTACTTCAAAACAGGCCCAAAAGTGAAAACAACAGAATTCAACTTCAACCCCTCCAACACATTATCAACAATCTTCCATCTATCCTGGAAAATGACCCTTCACTCTGAGGCCTTAGCGGACAGGCCAATCCTCATCTACAGATTACCCCCTAACCTCAAACGAATTATTTCCAGGAACCACGCAGCACACCTTCATCACACTCATCCAAGAACCCACCCCTGCAATCAGCCCCAGTGCCAACACTGCCCACACATCTACACTAGTAATTTCATCAATGGACCCCACCACATCAGAGGATCATTTAACTGCATATCCACTAATGTCATCTATGCCACCAAATGCCAGCAATGCCCCTCTGCCATGATTGGCCAAACTGGACAGTCTCTGCTCCAAAGGATAAATGGACACAAAACAGACATTAAGAAAGGTAGGACACATCACATATCCGAAAAGCCAATACACAGAAACCTCTTGGACAACACTTTAATCTGCCTGGACACTCATTAATGAATCTCCAAGTCACTGTGTTGTTTCAGGCCAATTCCACAAGGCAAATACACAGGGAAGGAGTGAAACTTAACTTCATTTACAAGTTTAATTCTTCTACAAATGGAATGAACAGGGACATCAGCTGGCTCGAACACTACCTTCCACATCCTAAAGACTCTACCAACCAACCATAACAATGGAGGTGCTAATTGTTCTTATCAGCCTCTTGTAACTACATGAACCATCTGCTGTCTCTCTCCTTTTTCCCCCCTCCATTTCTTCCCTCCTTTCCCCTTCCTTCATTTATTCTTGGATCTGGACTTTTAACACTCCAGTCACCTGAAGAAGTGGGTTGTGCCCACAAAAGCTCATGATACCATCTACATGTTTTGTTAGTCTTTAAGGTGCCTACTAGACTATTTGGGTTTTTTTAAGTCTTAACTTTGTTAAACTCTTCAAGTGTCCAGATGCTTTCACAAAGTTTAACTTTTTTCCTTAAGTGATTAATATTAAACATAAAATAAGTGAAAATAAAAAGAGAAACCCCAAATAAACATCCTAAATCCCTTTGTCAATAAGGAAACTAAAACAATACAATTATTAAAATAAAAAATAATTATAGGTATTCCTATAAAATTTTTTAAAAAATACTTCTTAATCTTTTGAAAGCTCAAAAAAGGCCATCAGCTTGGTGGTTTAAAAACAAAAACCAACCTAGCATGCGAATGTGTGCGCGCGCGCACATACACACACACACACAATCAACAAAGCCCAACTATTGAACTAATTCAAAATTGGGATGTGAATGGTTAACTTCATTCTTACTGAATATGGTCAACCAGCGGGCTGCTCCAGCTCTGTGGGGCCTGGCATGCCACAGGCTGAGCCGCTCCAGCCTCCGATGATCAACTCCCACCACATCCAGGACACCGGAGGAGCAGCCGACTGCCACACAGCTCGGCCTCTGGTCCCAGCCGGGGCACCGGAGGAGCACTCCCAACGTGCCCCGCAGCTCCAGCCCTGAAGCTGGGGCTGCATGGTGGCTGCCCTGCTGCTCCTGGGGTGGGGCAGTTGCCCGCCACGCAGCCCTGCCCCAGAGCAGCTAAGCAGCCACTGTGTGCTCTTATAAGGAGGTGGGCGGGCGGTAAATTTTTTATGCGGACCGGTGCATGTGAGCACCTTAGAGGGAATGCTGATTACTATATGAGCAACTTTATCAGTTCAATTATATTGTCCTTTCCTCCACCAATCAACTTCTAGTCAAAATACTCTTCTCACATCTATATACTGTACTAAACGTTTTCAATATGGCCAGGTGCTCAGATCTAAGAAGTTTTAGAGGTCGATGCTTTATGATCCATAAGAGATCTATGTGAGACTGCCACTTCACGTTAGAAATTAGATATATCTCAGTTTTGTCAAACATTTTACAACTTCATGTCTTGGTCACTGATTTCAGCTTATAAACACGACAAATAATTCTCGCACAGATGGCTTTTCAAGAGCCTCATCTATTTATTATGGCAAACTAAAGTAATTAATAATTGAGCATTTCACTCTGGGATCTTACTTCCTGCTCAGTCTGTAAAACAGCAATTCTTCAAAGACAAGGAATTCATAACTGAGTGATCCTCCCTCCAACAATATCACCTCTGTCTTGTTCAGGTTCAGCTCTTTATCCAGGATCTGATGTCAACCAAGCACTACTCTTATCTTGGTAGTACTGGTATCATATGTAGTGAAGACTGGGTAGAACTGTGAGTCACCTACATATTGCTGGCTCTTGAGTCCATGTCATTTGACTACTTCATTAAGTGGCTGCATGTAAATGTGGAATAGGACTAGAGAGAGAACAGATCTTTGTGGGACTCCTAAAATGATCAGTTTGGTGGCAGATATGCAGTTTCCATCACTGCTCATTGGTTGCATCCCTCCAAAAAGGACAAACCATTTTAGCACATTCTACTGGACCTGTATTATTTCTTTTAGGGGTGACAGTAGTATCTTTTGACCAAAAATGTCAAATGCTGCAGAGACGTCTATTATAAAAATGGTGTCTGCCTTCTATCCATTTTTAGTAAGAGACCATCCATTTGCACTAATGAAGGTAATCTTGCATCCTGCACTGCATCTAAACCGTTCTGACTTTAGGATATTAGTTTCAATTAAATGAACTTGTAGTTGGCTAACAGGAATGGGACGCTGATCCTGAGAGGAAGTTGACTAATACGAACATATCCAGGATGGGTTTCTCCAGTGCTGTTTGGAGTCATGAGCAACTGGTGCCATTCTTTCATCAGACAGTAAACGTTGGCTTCGATTCCTTTAAGTTGTCCAGAACTTCCTGATGAGTGAATATTACTGAACTCTGGGAATGTAGGTGAGCTATTGGTTGACTGAAGTAGGGAGAGTGGACCAATGCTTTTTAAACAGATTTCCTATGTGTTTGTGATCTTTTCAATGAAGTAGAATCATAGTTCTTTGTTGCCACTCTATTCCCATGCAAGTATAATAAGCACTCAGGGTTGATGAAGTAGTTTGCCACCCTGGATATGTCCTTAAAATTGAATTTGGTAGCTTCAACTGAAGCTGATGGACTCTACGCAATCTCAACACATTCTTGGAGAAATGTTTTCTTTCAAGCCTTCATTCTCCATCACTGGTGCTTGACTTTCTGACCACTCTCTTCAGCTGGCACTAGGGCTGTTAAAACAGTTGACCAAATAAATGCTAGCATGTATCTGGTTAACCACTTAACTTAGGGCCTGCCACATGGTCTGCTGAGGTTTTGGGGCCCTGCCATGGCCATAGGCTCCTGCTGCCCAACCTGCCACTCCCTTCACAGCCAGGGCTGCTCTGGGTACCGATGGTTAACTGGTAAGCATGCCAAGAGTTTCACATCCCTATTTGGCACAGTGTGTTAGAAAATTAAAGAGATCAGTCCAAACAAATTGTATATTCTAATTCAGCATGTCCCTATTAGAATACAATGATATTTTACATTTAGTCTCCATTTTTGTCCCAAAGCAATTTTCAGTTTATATAAATGCAGCCTGCTTGAACTGCCAGAGCAGCCTCCAGGATGGAAGGCTGCAGCCATCTGGCATAGAATGCAGCAAAAACATTGAATGAGAGAAGAGACTGTTAGCTGTTAGAAAAATGATCAGAGGCTCTAATGTCCACACAAAGCAAAAGAGCTCATTCTTGAAAATCCACAAATGCATAGAAATTATAGGGCAGTGCTACCTATAGTTGAACTCATGATTCTAGGGAGACTAATTTCTAACTTAGTTAAACTACTGAGTCCCCACTCCAACAGAGCCCAAACTTCCCTACCTGCTGTGTCCCCCCCTTCCCTCTCACCTTTTTAATATTGCTTTTCTTTTCAGAAAATGCTTCTCCCATATAGTCTCCTTCCCAAAGCTTCCTTTTCTCTCAGGCTCTGTGCAAGGTAGTAGGCACAGAGCCATATTTGCTCTCCCTGCTGTGGCCTGTGCTTCTCCAACCTGCAGGAAACTAATAATAACAACAGTGCACCAAAAGCACCAGTTGGAAACAGAAAGAGCAATAGCATAGCACACAATAGGTGCTCCAAGGTCAAAGCAACCCCGAGGAAAAATTGGTGGGTGCTGAGTACCCATTGGTTGCCCAGTCAGCTCCCCAGTGCAGCTTTGCACCTCCCCCTCCTCCTCCGTGCCTTCTGCCTGTGTTTCAAGGCATTTGAGAGGTTCTGGGAGGCAAGGGGAAGATTGAGGATGCAGCACACTCAGGAGAGGGGGCAGAACTGGGTGGGAAGAGGCAGGGCAAGGGCCTTGTGGGAAGGGTTGAGTGGGAGTAGGCCTGGTGCAAAGCCAGGTTCAAGTATCCCCTGAAACTTTTGAAAGTTGGCATCTTTGAGCAATAGATTCAATCCTGTTTTCATTCCTCTTAACCACCTAGCATCTCTGACTGGGCACAACTAACCCATCCGCTTCATTATTCTGGGATTCCTGAAAGGCCGTTGCAATTTAAGAATACTGCAATGTTTAAAGCAGCTGTAGCCCTAAGAAAAAAATCTTGTGATGTACGAGGAAAACATTTTATAATGATTATGAATTGCCAAAGAAGGAAAAATGAAATCCACAAATACCTGGCTAGACAGCGATAAAGCAGGAAAGGATTGGGAATTATTACGAATCAACATTGTGATGCTGTTGCAAAAAAGACAAATGCCTGGGATGTATTCATCGGTATGTAAAACATGGTAAGTAATTATTATGCTCTATTTGGCATTGGTGAGGCCTCATCTGGGCAATTGTGTCCAGATTTGGCACCTCACTTTAAGAGTCTAGAGGAGAGTTACAAAAATAAGAGGTCTAATCTGAAAATCTGACCTAGTAGGAAAGAGGTTGAAAGACATGACCATGCTTAGTTTACAAAGGAAAAGGCTGGGGAGGGGAAATAACAGTCTTCATATGTAAAGACCAGTGTGATTGTTATCCATGTCTAAGGACAGGATGTATAGGTTCAGTTGGCAGAAAGTGAGATTATGTTTAAATATTAAGAGAACCTAATTCCAAGGATGGTTAAGCACTGGAACAGGTAACCTAGGGAAGTTGCAGATTCCCTGTCCTTGGAGGTTTTTAAGAACAGGTTAGACAAACACCAGTCAGAGGTGGTCTTAGTAAACTTAACCCTATCTCAGCATAAGAGCATGGGATGCATGACCACCTGAAGTCCCTTCCAGCTCTACATTTCATAACTACCGTATTACTGAGCTGGTTTCTTCTAAACTTGGTTTGGTCCTTAGATGTTGGAGGAGTTAATGTGGAAATGTGTATATGCACAAATTGTTTGAGTGTAATACAGGGGCGGTCAGGAGTTTGCATCTGTGTAGAACTTAAAAACAATTAATTTTGTTCAGGTTCCAAACTGATTCACCTCTGGGCTGTGGCCAAATTTAGAAAAATTAATCCCATAAGAAATTAGGCTGAGAAAGATATGAGCAAGTAAGAAAGCCAGGATATGATTTAACTTGTACTTAAAACATAACAATAGTAGTCAATATTGCTCCATTACTAATATGCAGTGCAGCTGGGACACTGTGACTTGTCAGTGCGTATTAGGAATAACACATAAAACATATCTCAAGTAATCAAGTACACATTTCTTACTAATTGTTAACATGAAGTGACAGCATATGCAGTGTCAGCCCCAAAGCTAATGTATGCTGTGAATGCATATTAAGCATATTACCCTAAAGCCAGATGTATTTTAACTGCTCTGTTGATATTGTATATGCAATTCAAGAGTGTTTTGGAACAACAAGCACAACTCCAAATTTTTTCTTGTAATACTATTAAAATAATGTAACTGAATTCAAAATTATAAATCAACGTAGAGCGACACAAACTGACAAAAGCAACAACATGGTGAATTAGATACGATGCACTTGTCCCAGCAAGATAAAAACAGTGAAAATACAAAATTATGCACTATAATGCATTTCTTGTTTGTCACATTCCTAATTCTATCCTCACAGTTGGCGTCATGATTTTGACTAAATCTGCTTGCCACAGAGGTGCATGTGTGTACAGTACTAACTTGATTTGTGCTGTACACATATAGCACAAGTATATATTTATACATCAAGAAAAATGAAAAATTTGCTTTTGTTGTCGCACTTTTCTGGGATCTCAGCTTCCACACTGGCTAAATGTGCTTTGTGTGCATGCGAATGGTTACAACAGTAGCACTGCAAGGCTCTTTTTTTCCCCCCGGCCTTGAAGTGAAAGAGGACATATCAATCAGTCAGTACGGCTGCTTATCCTTGCTAAGCTGAAGAATCATGACATCGATGAAAATAAATTAGAATTAAATCAGACACAGAGTCAAAGTCCAAGCAGTCTGACATGACATGACTAGCACTACTGGCTGTTTATATCTTTAATGCCTGAGGTGTAGAATCTTTCCCCACTAACAGGACAATGGGTATTTAAGGCTAGTTAATATCAAAATCCAGAGGAAGTTTACATAACAGTGAATAGTATATACTCTTTTTCTACAGATGCAGGAAGCACAGAAGAGAAAGAAAAACCCTCAGCGTTTTAGTGAATCTTGGGACAAAATTCTTTATCTGGTGCCAGTATCTTATTTTCTGCTTTGTTCACCTCCCTCTTGGAAAATCCAAATGAGACTGATTTATTATACAGGGCAATGCAGACAAATTGTCCTCATGGGGGAGAGAGAGTAGTTCCTTTAATCTTCGACTCTCCAAACAAATTATCATTTCTACTGGATCCATTTATATACAGTAACTCATCTTACATTTTCTTCCTCGCAGACAAAAAACCATCAGTGTGTGTGGCCGTGACCAGCATTGGCAGAAATGCCACAAATCCCTTTTCACTAAACTTCACGGGGTCAGAGTGGAAGAAACATCAACTCCTTAACAGATTACAATAAAAGCCTGTTTCTCCCTAGTTCTACTCTAAGATCATTGTTATCTGTAAAACTGAACACTGTAGAGACTACCTTACACTCTATATACCATATATGAGCTTAGCAATGCATAGACCTCATGCACTGATTCTATCAACAGACAATAGCATTACCACCTGTCTTTCCCACCCCACCTTACCCCCACTTTATTTCTTCACACTGATCACAAAACTAATCTAGGTAATCAAAAGCAGTACAGCTACAAGTAATGATTTCTCACTCTGGAAGCTGAAGTCTGTCTTGGCATACACATTTTTGGGGTGTCCAGAGATTGGGAATGGAGATGTAGAAAGGACCAGTCATGAACGTTAACATTTTTGTGACTAATGAAAAGGACACTTTGCAGCTTGTGTTTAGTCATCTCTTAAAGTGATTTGCATGCTTCTAAGAGCCACTCCACTTTAGAAGTTTGTTATAGACTGTAGAGTGTCTTTTGAAATTAGTGTTTAGTAGTAAGAGCATTTGTCTGCCTAAGTATTCAATCTCACAGGCCCTTGGATATTTTAGCATCTGATGTGCACTTAACTGAGCAGCTGAGTGTTGAAACAACTGATATGGAGGAATGGATAATTAGTCTACAGGAGGCCATCCAGTTTTGATTATACTGCACTAAGGTTAAAGACCAGATTACTCCTTAGAATTCAAATCTGGTACTAAAGGAATTTATAGAGCTCTACCCAAGCTACTAAGTCTCAGTTTTACTGCAAACAATGTACACTCAAAATGAAGTAAAAATTAAACATGAAGAATACATTAAAAGTTTACTTTTCTTGTTTGGTTTCCCTTCCATTTTATCTTTTACTGAAGACCAATTTTGCCAGTAAATAAATACAAACCATTTGTAATTTAAGCCAAATTGCTAATACAGCATTCTTTGCAGAAGATGACCCTATATTGCAATTCTTTAACAAAACGGATCTGGGAAAAGGCACTGCTTATGGTACTGAAAACTCAGCCTCAGTGCAAGTTACATACAATGCTTCTTATAACACAGTCTGCTGGGAGCCTTACTTCTTTTCCCCCCCAAATGTCATTTGCTACATTTGTGTTCAGGGATTTGCCTGGAATGGGTGAGCAGAGAGTGGTTTGGTTCCTTGCCTATGTTGTAGGAGATCCTGGTTCAAATCCTCCAGCTGCCTGATCAACAGAGATTTTCACAGGCCTGGCCTTAGGGTAAGGCAGCTGCCTTCAGCTCTGTGATACCCATGTCTGCCTGCCTGGCTGCTTACCTGTTGCCCTGGTTGGGCGCTGTAGGGTACAGTGTGCTGCCTTGAGCCCTGGATTTGCACAGGGATTTCCTGTCTCTTAGGTGGTCATTCTTTGCACTTGCCATCCTTGTCCAAACCCCCTCTCTTTCTCAAGAGTCCCTTGTCTTCATGCGATGCGGTGGTGATTTATACAAGGATTGCTCACTAGTGAAACTCTTGCCAGGAGGTGGGAGCCCCCAGTTCACACCCCTCAAAAGAGCAGGGGAGAGCCCTCATATCTGTCACAACCTGGGCCTGCTTATCCTGATCATGGTGGACAATGAGACTGGCCCAATTCTCATTTCATATTTACTGAACATGGCCAGCCATCAACAGAAGAGGCTGAAGGAGCTCTGACCACCCGCTAGCCCAGCACTTAGGCCATTCATTTCAGAAGTAAGAGATCAATTAGTCAATAGGGCCCCTCTGCCTTTGAAACACCCGGGGGAGCATAGAACCAACAGGGGACTGTTGCTACACTTCAAAGTGGCAGCCCACGTAGAGACCAAGGTCAGCTGGGGACCCCCCCACTAATCCCGGGCTCCATGCAGCGCTGCGCTTTGAAATGCTGCATGCAGCCTGGGAACACCCCCGCTGGCCCAGGGCTGCATGCGGTGTTTCAAAGCAGGAGTGCCACATGGAGCCTAGGATCTGGCCAGCATGGTAGCACTTTAAAGACTAACAAAAAATGTAGATAGTATCATGAGCTTTCGTGGGAACAGCCCACTTCTTCAGATGACCGGAGTGTTGGATGTCCAGAACTAAAATAAATAGGGGAGGAGGGGAAGGAAAAAAAATGGGAGAGGGGGGAACAAGAAGAGGTAGTAGGTATAAAAATATCAAGGAGAAAGCCGAACTGGAATGTAACAGGAAAACAAATAGTCATAGCACCTAAAGAGGTTAGTCAAAAGAGGCAGATAAGAATCATTAGTAGGCAATAGAGAAGAAGAGTACTGACACCAGATACTATACAGACAAAGATTCACTGGCACCTTCATTGTTTGGTAGGTTGATAATGTCCCAGCCATCCAGTATCTTTATTTAATCCATTAGCATGAGTATCAAACTTGTGAATGAACTGTAGTTCCAGTCCTTCCCTGTGTATTTGGCTTGTGGAACTGGTCTGTAACAAAACAGCCACTTGAAGATCTGTTAATGAATGCCCAGGTAGATTGAAGTATTTCCCAACAGGTTTTTATATGTTCTCTTTACGGATATCTGATGTGTGTCTATTAATTCTTTCCTGTAGGGACTGTCCAGTTTATCCACTGTATATTTCAGTGGGGCATTGCTGGCATAGATTACATTCTTGGATGTGCAGTTAAATAGCTATGTGGGCAGAGTTGGCATGGGGGCTGATTGCAGGGCTGGGTTCCTGCATGTTTATGATGTAGCTGTGTAGCATGGTTACTGGAGAGAATTTCTTTCAGGTTGGAGGGTTGCCTGTAAGCGAGAATAGGCCTTTCCCCCAAGGCCTCTGAGAGTGAGGGATCATTTTCCAAGATAGGTTGTAGATTGTGAATAATGTGTTGGAGGGGTTTAAGTTGTGGACTGTAGGTAATGACAAGTAGAATTCTGTTGTTTTCTCTTTTGGGTCTGTCTTGAAGTACACATCTGGGTACTTTTTTGGCTCTGTCAATCTGTTTTTTTTCCACTTCTCTAAGTGGGTATTTCAGTTTTAGGAATATTCTATAATGATCCCATAGGTGTTTGTCTCTGCCTGTGGGATCGGACCAAATCCGATTGTATTTTAGGGCTTGGGTGTATACAATAGATCGAGAAATGTGTCTGCAATGGAAGCTGGAGGCATGAAAGTAAGTGTAGCGGTCGGTGAGTTTCCGGTATAGAGTGGTGGAAATTTGTCCATTATTTAACTGTACTGTAGTGTCCAGGAAGTGGATTTCTCGTGTGGACTGATCCAGGCTGAGGTTGATGGTAGGGTGGAAGTTGTTGAAATCCTTGTGAAATTCTTCAAAAGTCTCTCTTCCGTGGGTCCATATGATGAAGATGTCATTGATGTAGCGTAAGTAAAGTAGGGTGTTAGGGGGTGAGAGCTGAGGAAACGTTGTTCAAGGTCAGCCATAAAGATGTTGGCATATCATGGTGTCATGTGAATGCCCATGGCCATGCTGCTGACTTGGAAATACAAATTGTCTCTAAATTGGAAGTAATTGTGTGTGAGGAGAAAGTCATAGAGCTCTGTAATCAGATGTGCAGTGGTGTTATCAGGGATGGTGTTTCTGATGGCCTGTAATCCATCTTCATGTGGAATGTTGGTGTAAAGGGCTTCTATGTCCATAGTGGCCAGGATGGAATTTTCAGGTAGATTATTGATGGTTTGAAGTTTCCTCAGGAAATCAGTGGTGTTGTGGAGGTAGCTAAGAGTGCTGGTACCATAGCGTCTGAGGAGGGAGTCAATATAGCCAGATAATCCTGTGGTGAGTGTGGACTGCCTGTAGTTCCGCTTCTCCCTTGTCCATAAGACTAGTTATCCTAACAAAGAAAGCTATTGGATTGGTTTGACAGGATTTGTTCTTTACAAATCTATGCTGGCTGTTACTGATCATCTTATTATCTTCCAGGTGTTTGCAGATGAATTCCTTAATTATTTTCTCCATTATCTTTTCTGCCACAGAAGTTAAACTGACTGGTCTGTAGTTTCCTTAATTTGGTGAAAGACAGACAGTAAACCACACAAAAAGACTACAGAAGCAATGCTGACTAGGGAAGAACTGTCAACACCAGCCAGAAAGGTGAAATGTTGTAAAGGAACCTAGAAAGTTCAAGGAAGAGGGGCTGGAAACAACAAACAACAAGAGAATCAGTGTGGAAAGATGTAAGCAAATACATCTGGGAGAAAAATAATTAAATGCACAGAACTGATTTGCTACCACCCTGTACCTTGGTCATTTATATCTCTACAAAGTGAGCAAAATGAATGTTAAATGCAAATTAGAATGGTTGCACTTTACACAGACATAAAGGACTACACGAGGTGTACAGTACTGGAAATTCAGGCTTGCATTCTTGCTGAGGGGGAGAAACCTATGAAGCAGCAATGCTGGTAAGAAATTTTGAACCTGAGCTTTAGATGTGGCAAAAGACTTTGTACAAATCAGAAAGAGAGATAAAACTGACTTTTACACTCCCCAACCTTGAAGCTACTCAGCACTGGACCAGCCTCCTAGGACAAAAGTCAAAGCCGCTGGAAGGTTGCTAACAGTCAAGAGCCCTGAGAAGTCATTACAGCAGTCACCGATCACTGGGGATTGCTGAGGTGCTAACCTGGGCTAGATACACCTCCCCCTTCTTTTAAAAGCACAGAAGTGGATAGAAGAGCTCCATGCCACACAAAAATCCCTTTCACTTGAGCGCTCTATTATCGGCTGAACTGACTATGGGCACCAGCAGAGTAGCATAGGGTGGTCTGACCTCAGGGCCTTAGTGATAGTGGAAAGAATTAGACAAAAGTTTTCAAAGTAATAAGATAACAAAGTGCACAATACAGGTGCAAGCAGAGGCCTGTGCAAAAAGCACATGCAAAGCAGGGGCTAATTAGGCTTTGATGTGACCAGCTCTGTAGTTCAGTCTTGAGCATCCCAGTATGAGACAAATTAGAGGAATTCAAAAAAGAACGACAAAAATCTGAGGGCTGGAGGGACTCCATAGAAAGACTGAGTTTGTCTATATGGTGTCTTAGTCTATGCCAACTAGCTCACGTAGATCCTGCTGACACTCACTAATAATTCCCTTAATGTTCCTTCAAATAGTCCTATTCCAAATTACATTAACATACACATGCGTGAGGGAACTTTTAGCGCACTCCAGGGAGTGCACAAAGGTCACCTAGTGCATGATATACCGATGCACATGCTGATTGATGTGTATTAGAATTTACACCACAGCTGCTGTAAGACACTACCATAGACAAACCCATTGAGAGAATAAAATATAAATAAGACCAAAGCCGTGATAACACACAGTTTATTTCAAGGATATGAAGACCAAAGATGAAATCTTGTGGGATGATAAATAGGGGGAGCTCTAAGTAATGGCAAGAAATTAAGAAAGAAAATTTAGGCTGTATATAAAGATACTTCTTCTTGACAATGAGATTTATTGGTGCCCCAAGGGAAGCAGCAAAATCCCAATTTCTTCAAGCTTTTAAAATGCTATTAGAAGTATGTTTTTGTATATTTTGTAGGGAGCTATCCAACAGCTGTAGGGAGATAGAATGCTTGGTCTTTTCCATCTCTAATTTTTATGCTGCTCTACTTCTTATGATCTTGTACAGAAACAATGACAACAACTTCTGCTATCATATACAAAAGTGGATTGTGTTCTAGTAAAGCAAAATTACCGTTTGTTGCTTGATTTTACTTTTATAGAATCTCAATAGGGGTCATTAATGGAATATGTCTGCTTTAGTCTCATTTCCACTGAGACAGAAATCTACATCTCCTGACCATGACAGTCGGAGCTAGATTGCTCCTCTGAGACCACACAACTACCACTAGACAAGGCTGAAAAATCATTTTAAGAAATATAAGAAGGATGGTGCTTTGGCCTGGAGTCAGTGTGGGATAAAGAGATGTTAAAAGCATAAGATGTTTCAGGGTTAGACTGTCTACACTTAACAGTTTAAAGCCCAATTGTGGCAGCACTTTAAACCAAAAGTGTGGCTACAGCATAAGGACTGGGAGAGAGGTCTCCCAGAACTATTTATACACCACCTCTGCGAGGGGAAATTATTTATTTATTTATTTATTTATTTATTTATTTTCTTTTAACTTTAACCAGACTTCCTTTACTGATATAAATCATCATGTAGCCAAGTTAGCCATTTAAGACCACCTACAGCTCTGTCAGGACCAAGGATTTAGCTCCTGGTTTCTCCAAGAGGGCAGTACATTTGCTTTGCACCACTACCAGGAACAGCTCATCTGCATCTGATTTCTT